GCAGCCGCCTCTCCCCACGGGCGCGCCCCCGCCGCCACCCACATGCGCGGCCCCGCGCTGCGACTCCGCCCCAAGCGCTCCGCCCGCCGCTCCACCCCCGCCTCTGGGCCACGCCCCCAAGCCCGCCCCAAGGCCCGGGCCCGGCTTGGAAGGCGCTTCAGCGGTCTGCGGGCGACCGGACTACACTTCCGGGGCGTGGCCCCACTCGGGGAGCTCAGCGGTCTGAGGGGCGTTGAGGGGAGAGTGCGTTCCTCTGGATGAGGGAATGCGACTCTGACCGGGACAGACCCTAGTCTTTCGGAGTAGAACTTCAGTTGGAACTTGCGGTCTTACCGCCTACTAGGGAGGAAAAGTAGATTTCAAGAGTGCTTCAGCGCCGCCGCCAGCCGTGGGCTGGGACTACAAGTCCCGGCCTGCGGGAACCCAGGAGCGGGGGCTGGGGAGTGTAGTGGTGGGAAGAGAGGCATTCTGGGAACTGTAGTAGTGTCACCTCCGCGTTCACAACAGGTACGTGCTCATTTTACTATTGGCTTGACGAGAGTGGTCAGTCATTAGGCTTTGGCACTTTGGGGGCCGGCTACGACTAAGAGAAGCGAAACGTCTCTTGGGTGAAAGGACTTTGGTTCTTTGGAAATCCCTTTAAGCCCTGGCGAGTGAGCGCCTGATTTTCAGAGTGCCTCCTTCGCATACGACGCATATAGTAGGGGCTCAGTGTTTGCTGAACTGAAAGGAATTTGTGTCCCTACTTTTAGATTCCTAACACTTCAGAACTGAATGAGAGGGACTTTCCTCCGTAGAATGGGCTTTATAAATCTTTGTTCATCTTTGTCTTCTAATTATCAGAGTATATTCTGGTCTAACTCATCATTGCACAAATAAAGTGATTTGCCCGGGGTCCGCCAGCATATTCTTAGTGGAGCCAAAACAGAAACTCTAGTCCTTTGCTTTCACCATATCACCGTATTGCCCCTTACTAAGGAACTTAAACTTGTGGTAATGTGACAGAACAAAAGGGTTTGATCAATGGACACACTTTGGTCACTTATACCCACAAACAACATCAGGGCAGATTGGTCTGGAAATTTGGTTATAATAGGAAATACCAGTGGTAGGACACTTTCCCTGATGAATGTTTAGAAGCACTGTGGAATTTAATGAAAAACTCCTTTAAGAATTTAGGTATGAGTAGCAAGATACAATTTATTTACTTTTTTAGAAAAGGAAAATATTTCTCTTTCAAATAATGCAACTAATATATACCAATCCACTCCTCTCCTCAGAGGAAGAGTTATGAAATACGCACTTCCACATGTGCCCTTCTGAATCTTTTCCCATGCATTTATATACGTGTGTGCATGTAAAGAGATACAGTTTTGCTGTGTGTTTTAAAAATTCACTTGGAGGAATAGTTTAATTTCTAAAGTAAACTGTATTTGAAGCAAAAGTATGCAGTATTTTACTTTAACCAGATACTGAGATTCAGTTTCATTGGATGTGAGAATAGGTCAGAATCTTTGGGCTTGATCATGCTCACTGTAGATTCTACTGTCCCCTTAGAAATGGGGAAGAAATTAGACTGTAGGCAAAGAAATGGGTAGATGATCAGGAGTGCATCCACTTTTGATATGTCAAAAGAGCGTACAAACCAGACAGTGATTGGTAAAGGCTATATGCTGGACAAGTTGTGTAACGGTTTAGTGACAGTCTGGTATAGTGTTGTGAAAAGTGTTACTTGTTTGAGGTATTGAGACGTGTTTTGGCTGGTGTTTTAGTCATTTTTGGGTTTTGTTTTTTTTTCTTGAGACAGAGTCTCGCTCTGTTGCCCGGGCTAGAGTGCAGTGGCATCATCATATCTCACTGCAACCTCAAACTCCTGGGCTCAAGCCATCCTCCTGCCTCAGCCTCTCAAGTAGCTGGGACTACAGGTGTGTGCCACCTTGCCCAGCTAATTTTTTTCTATTTTGGTGTCTCACTTTTGCTCAGGCTGGTCTTGAACTCCTGAACTCAAGTGATCCTCCCACCTCAGTGTCCCAAGTAGCTGGGATTACAGGCACATGCCACCTGCCCAGCTAATTTTTTTCTATTTTGAGGCCTCACTTTTGCTCAGCCTGGTCTTGGACTCCTGAGGTCAAGCGATCCTCCCACCTCAGTCTCCCAGAGTGCTAGGATTACAGCTGTGAGCCACTGCACCCAGCCTTAGTCTTTTTTTTTTTTAAATCATTTTTTTATTGGCAGTGTCTCTCTTACAACACTTGAGGGTTTCTTGAGTTCTCAGCAGCCACCTTTGGCATCATTGTAGGTTAGGGAAAATTAATGTAAAGTACCTCCAAGGATTTCAACTCTTTGGAAAGGCTTAGCAGTGTTTTCCTTGGTAACTGTTTTTTTTTTTTTTTTT